ATAAAATTTATTAATTTTATTTGAACATTAAAAGCATGACATTTTAAAAATAAGCTTAGATATCTTATTATACTTGATATCACAACTTAGGTTTAGTTGGTTTATACAATTTGAAAGACCCGTGTTTTCCTATCCCTTCTGTGAACCTTTTGGCACCTGAAAATAAAAATAAAACAATCAAATATAAACTTAATTAAAGGCCCATTATGCCAGAGAAATGCTATCATTTTTAATTCTCGAAAGACTTTATATATTTAATATTTTGTTACAGTTTCCAAAAGAATACTCATTTGCCACATAGATGAATTATCATTTACTTTTTTCGCTCTGTTGACAATAGATATAAGCATATTGTATGAGTATTTTGTATGGAAGTCAAAATACTACTTTGTTTACATTTTGCTACCTTTCCGACACATTACTGCACATTCAACGCAAATTTCTTCAGTTATTAAACATCTAATATGCTCTAAATCCATTATTAAAATATTATGTAACAAATGTTTGACATTTCTAAAGAATTAACAATTGATGGATTTCTAAGAAATTATTTGCCTTTAACTAAAATACTGACAAAATCTAATCAAAATAATTGAACGGTCCCTAAATTTCGGAATCTATTTAAATCTAATTCATACACATACACGTATCAATACATGTACAAGTATCTAAATCTACAGATCCATACATGTACATGTATTCAAATGGAGAGGACGCTATGACATCATACACTTAAATATAAATCTGCATTAGGGATTTTTACATAAAACAAAATGGCAGAAAATGATCAACTCCACGGGCCAATGAATCTAGCACAAGGGATTATGGGTCTGGATGGGAATTTTTTTCTATTTTTAGATCTTCTTATCCCCCTGTAATCTAAATCTCTGCTAAATATATTATATAACAAAATACACCAGCTTGTCACTGACAATGCAGCAGTCCCCTACCAGTGCAAGGTTGTCCAATTCCCTACTACAACCCATACAAATATGGAATTGACTTTCAAAATTTTGCCTCAGATATTTAAGGCTCAAACATAACTTAAGGAAGAAATTACGTTTATGTTATTTTAAAGATAATGACATACTTTCTAAATGAAGGGAACACGATTTTTTTCTTCTTGGGTGGGTAATCACAGTTTGTCAGTTTTCATTGCTTTTACAAAATGAAGGGAACATAATAACAATTCTTAATCATTTAAAACATTTACACTATAACCTATCATACCTGGTATAGATTCTTCAGCAAGCACTTTTACTCCATTTTCAAATTCATATTTTAGAGCATCTTGTTGTGAACTTGCGTTGTAGGCAGCATAATATGCTGATTGTCTATCTGCATTCATGCAGCGCTGAGGATACTTCAACAATGAACCTGCTAAATTCATTGCCACTGATAAACCTAAAAGAAATGAACATACATTGTACTTAATTTGTTGCCACTGATAAACCTAAACATAATGAGTCTGATAAAGTAACAGCCACTGATAAACCTAAAAGAAATAAACATGCTTACTAGTAATTCATTGCCAGTGATAAACCTAAAACAAATGAATATGCTTACTTTGTTACCATAGATGAACAATTAAAAACAATGAATCTGCTTAAGTCATTGCCACTGATAAAACTAAAAAACAATCAATACACTAAAGTCATTGCCATTGATAAACCTTAACATACTGACCCTGCTAAAGTCATTGCCACTGATAAACCCTATACAAAGAACCTGTTTAAGTCATTGACACTGATAAACCTAAACATAATGACCTGGCTAAAGTCATAGCCACTGATAAACCTCAGATCAATGACCTTGCTTAAGTCATTTCCAATGATAAACCTTTTTTGCAAATGCGAAATAGTGTTTTCTAGAATTAAACGTTTTGCAATACCTTTTTGTCTTGGAACAGTCGTTTGAGCTTACGCCTACAAATCATGTTTCCATGCTACATATTAAACATTTCTGATAATATTTTTTAAATCTTATATTTTTAAACAAAAAATCTCTCAATGATTTAATCAGCATGGAGTGAGATCATACATTTCAACATTATCAAATTGTTTTAAATAATACTACATGAAGATTGTTTGGTAATTAAATTGTTCAATAAAAATGATTTAAGAAAGATAAAGTTTGGAGAAAAAAATTGTTTATGTAACCTGATCCAGTCTTTGCTACCACATTGGCTAGACCCATTTCACCTGCCTCCTGTGCAGACACACTTCTACCTATAAATAGATCGATATTTTAATAATTTTTCAATCATACTTCTCCTGTATCCATCAGTATACACTTATTTTGACTGATTGAATATATAATTATACAATAAATAGACTGAATATCATGATAGTAATACAAAATTCAAAGAGAGCCAACAAAACTAATGTGAATACATGAAATGCTGCTGATATGCTAGCAATTGATGCAATAAATTACACAAGTTTGTTGACATATAATCAATTTACACTTAAGTGACACAAAATTGATGACATATAGTCAATTGATACCATACATTATACAAAATTGATGACATATAGTCAATTGATACCATACATTACACAAAATTGATGACATATAGTCAATTGATACCATACATTACACAAAATTGATGACATATAGTCAATTGATACCATACATTACACAAAATTGATGACATATAATTAATTTATACCATAGATTACACAAAATTAATGACATATAATCAATATATACCATAGATTACACAAAATTAATGACATATTATCAATATTTACCATAGATTACACAAAATTAATGACATATAATCAATATATAATACCATAGATTACACAAAATTGACTACATAATTATAATCAATTAAAACCATAGATTTATCTATAATTAATCTATACCAAAGATTACACACACAAAATTTGATATTGAGGATAAACAAAATTGAAGACATATTATCTATTTAGCTATATTTTTTTAAATAGGGAAACATATCTATATATAGCAATAGGAATGAAAAGGTGTGGTAATATATTTCCTAAGATGGTATAAGAGAAGGGAATGAATACTTATATCCATTAATAATGTAAGAGTTGAGAATTTTACCTGTCAATATAAGATCCATAGCTCTAGAGAGACCAATTAACTTCTGTAATCTCACAGTACCACCATCCAACAACGGTACACCTGAAATTATGTTAAAAGTTCATACATCGGCCAATACCGTAGCAAATTAGTTATTTTTTCAAAATCTTGGGCATTAAATGTATTTACAATCACTCATCCTTTATCACTATGTTCTAAATTCCAGTTACTTATGGTTAAAAATTATTGAATACCAAAGAGAAATAACGTTCTGGAAATGACTGATTTATTACAATATTGGCCGATGTTAGAAATGTTTTGGCGAGAAATCATTGCAGTCAGACCACCTTAATAACAATATGTCAAATTGATTTTTCTCTATAGTAAAAAAATGTAAAGACATTAAAATACTAAAACTGTCATTATTTTCTTTTCATTATTCTTGTTTTTCATAAATGTTTTTTTGTCACATTGACATTGTCAAGGCCATTTGTTGACTTTCTGGTGAAGGAAGACATCAGTTGCCCCCATATACACGAGTATATTTTCCAGTATTCCTACTGGAATTCAAACCAAATAATGTAAAAGGTGTGTAAATGGTGTGTGATCTTAAGTAACGAAGCATCATTAATCACTCTGGCACCATCTCCTAATTTTGTTCATAACACTATGTTTGTATGATGCCCATGTAACTGTAAATGTGACAAGTCAACAACATCATATAATAACTATAACAAAGATGGTGTTCTGATTTCAATTGACAGCCTGCTACCTTGGCTGAACAAGGCTGACCATACATTTCAAATATTATGTAATGTTTGTAACTTCAGTAAAAATTTTGTGTTGATTAAATAATATTTGTCATGTGCATGGTTGAATATATGTGTATTGGACTTCAGCTTCTTTAATTTCGAACAAATGCCAAATTTTAAAGAGATACTTTACTAGTACATCATAGACATTGATGTCATTCAAACCCATCTGGTATCATTGTGAAGAGGATTTGATAGGTACCAGTCAAAGGTCAAGCTGATGACCTATAACCATACACCACTAAAACTGACAGGAACCAGTCAAAGGTCAAGCTGATGACCTTCAACTTTACACAACTAACAAGCGTTGATGATAACAAGACTAAGAAAAAGTACATCAAATAGATCCACATACCAAACCGTCTACAGAATACCCCTAGTACTGCTGACTCGTCCACAACACGAAGGTCACACATTAAGGCAAGTTCAAGGCCACCCGCTACAGCATAACCTTCAATACATGCAATAACTGGCTTGCTAAAACACATCCTTGATGGTCCCTGAAAAATATACAAAAAAACCTCTTACAAGAGCATAGTTTGGTTGAACTTTCTTTAGTATTAAATGCCAGGCATTAATGATGGCTTTGAATACTACATGTGTACATCACTGTAACAAACCATTAAATACAACAAACCATTGGAGTCTGGCTGTTAAAAATGTTAAACATGACAAACCATTGGAACCAGGTTATTTACAATATTAATCATTAACCATTAGAGTCTGGCTGTTAAAAATGTTAAATATAGAATACCATTGGAGCCAGGTTGTTTACAATATTAGACATAAACCTGACTGTCGACAATACCTTTGAAGCCTGGTTTGTTAACAATATTGAACATAAAGAAATTGAACATGGCTGTTAATACTATTAAATACTTGTATAACAAACCACTTGAGCTTTGCTGATAATAATGATCAATGCTGTACATGACAAACAGCTTTATAAGCTTACTTTTACAATTTTAATATTGAATGGTACAAACCATTGGACCCTGACTATTAACTAATGGTTCTTCAAATGATGGCACTGTTTCAGTATTTGCTAGAGATGTCAAGTCATATCCTGCACAGAAATTGCCACCTGCAATACAATGATACAATACAAATATTGATGGAATACTGTGTTTGTAACATTGATTTTCATTGGCTAATCACGAATTTTAATTTTTCACTATCTATCTACACAGCTTCTATAAACTTTATTTAAGAAATAATATATCCCAAACAGTGATTTTATCGCTCAATAACATCACTGTTTGGAGTTCTGATGCGAGGAATTATATCACGAGGGCGTAGCCAGAGTGATAAAATGATGCGCATCCGAACGACAAACAGTGATGTTATCAAGCGATAAAATCACTGATTTGGATATATTATTTCGATTCTAACACGACATCAACAAATAAATGTTGCCGTACTTGATAGTTAAGCAAAATTGCGCCTGATTTGTTCCGTACTTATTTTCAGCGCGTCGGATTTTTAGTGGTTACGTCATGTGTATAATGATTACGTCACATCTCTAAATATAGAACGTCAAACTGTGCATCTGTTGCATAATAACACACACTTTCTGTTCTTCTATGTTCAATAGGGAAAAATGCGGGTCGTGTTAGAATTTCCCTTAAATAAACTAATCACAGTTTTAGAAGTTTGGTATGAAGCTTATTTACAGATAATATGACCAGGCTTTGTTTATTATGAAATGTAAGCCAGCTGATGATATAGACAGAAGCAGGTTAAAATGACCACCAAAAATTCTTTATGTATTTATCTACTCCATTTCAAATTGCTACTTAGTTTTTTCACACCTGTTTCATAAAAAAATTACCATTGGAGATTCTTTATGAATTCATCCCTTTCACACCTGTTTCATAAAAAAATTACCATTGGAGATTCTTTATGAATTCATCCTTACCTTATATCACCACTAAGGATTCTTTCAATCTATTCCATGTAAAATTGCCTTGAAGGCTGTTAAACATTCATTTACCTGTTCCATGTAAAATTGCTACCAGGGAATCTTCGTCTTCCTCAAAGTTTTTGAAAGCCTGAAACAATTCTGTAGCAGTTTCAGGATTAACAGCATTTCTCTTCTCTGGTCGATTTATAGTAATTCTCATAATTCTTTCACATTTTTGTATCAAAATGTTGTCTGAAGAATAAAAAATGAGCATGTATACATTCATTCCTTTATTGCTGATCAATTTTGAGTTTAAACATAGAACAATGGATAACAGTAACAGTCCCTACATTACTCTGTTTTGACAGCCTACAGAGGGAAAGAAAATGGGTTCCAATTTACTTTCAATTGTATACTGTCCTGGTAAAGAAATTTTACAACAGTCTGAAGAGTCTGTAAATAATCTTAAGCTAGCTCTGTGAATGGACACTGCGTGATGCATTGGCCATTGGTTGTCAGGTATTCTTTGATTAGGATACCAACTAGACCATGTTGAATCTTTTCGAAAATGGATGACCTATATAGTATCTATAGTTCTGAGTTCTAGTCTATGGAAATTTGAGGTCTGGTGTGGTCGTAACGCTTGAGATCTGTCCATTATTTAGCTTGATCCATTTTCAACTTGATATGGACAACATGTTGATATAGATTTAAAGGAAAATAAGGACAGATTTTCTGGTGTTCAATTTGACAATGCCTTTTACACTCATCTCAGCATTTCTTTCAACAATGTGCCAGCTATGTAAAAGAAAAAAAGAAACTTACTAAAGGAAAGGCAACTGAGCCGCGCCATGACAAAACCAACATAGTGGTTTTGCGACCAGCATGGATCCAGACCAGCCTGCGCCTCCCCGCAGTCTGATCAGGATCTGTACATGCTGTTCGCTTACTAGTCAAAATATATTGACGTGCCAAAGCTTGATTCTGAGATATTTTCGTTCTAGGGCAGAATCTCGCTTTAGAGGCGAGATATTGCCCAGACACGAAAATAGCACAATATCTCGTCGCGCAGTACAATTAGTTGGACTATTCGCTTACAAACCCTATAACACGTAAAGAAACTTATAGCGAACAGCATGGATCCTGATCAGACTGCCCGGATGCACAGGCTGGTCTGGATCCATGGTCGAAAACCCATTATGTTGGTTTTTGTCATGGCACGGCTCAAATGACTAATGTTACAGTGTGTAATTAATATAGATTAGTCTGACCAAAATTAGGGAAATCGTTGAAGAAGGATAGTTTTCAGACATCCTCAACAGATAGAATAGAACTCGTCTATATTTACAGTCACGACACCCTTTTTATTACAACAATTTAAGTGAACATACAAACAATGAAATATATTTATAACTGTGACACCCTCAGAATTGTTCTAAATCAACCAACTTTTAATATTTCTACTTTCACTTTACAACTATTGTAAATTAAATGTTCGATTTCTCGAAAAATGCCGGGAATACAATAACATTTCAGTATAAAATAGAAAACTTATAATAATTTCATACTGCTGCCATCATTTGATGATGCTGTCATCGCTCTTATTGCTCCAAAAACCGGCCTGAAAACAGTCAGTTTGTTTATCAACATCTTTCACAGTTTCACCTTTACTTGTACCCGGCTTCGACCCAGCATGCACAATTTCTTTTATTCGTACTCGTAATTTTCGCTCCATCCCTTTTTTGTCAAAATAAAATATTGTAGATGAATACGTACACAGTTTAAAACTTGTATTTAAATCAGTTCTGAAATAGTCGTTATTGCTGCTAGTCTTTTTTTTCATTAAATTTACATGTATATGTCATTTTTTATGCATTATTGCAGCATATGCAATATGCTGCACTATCCGACTATTATTTGTTGCATTCTTACTTGTTGTCTTTAACTAAAACCTTAGATGGCTTTGTAACTATCAATTAGCTTTCAACTGGAAAAAATAACAACCTCATACATACACTAGTTTCAGTCTTAGCCATGATTTGCACATCTATGGATGGCATCAATTCTGTTTAATTTTCTTGTTTGTTAAAAAAACAAAATACTACATGTATAATTATTTATTGTATTGGCTAATTTGCAGAATTTATGCTCTCATGTTGCCAGTGATTGTTTTTTCATAAACAAGACCTGTCCGTGGACAGTTCACTCCACTTTTCTCAGTGCCGGTGAGTTCAATGAAATAACATAGAAAAGGGGGCAATATGAGTTCTGTAAATTTGCTAAATTTTTAAGCAGACTTACCTGGCCTAGATAGTAAACAAGTATTCAAGGTTGCTAGGGAAAGTCAATAGTTGCTATGGAAGTCAATAATTGCTAAGGAAAGTCAGTGGTTGCGATTGCCTGTCGTTCAGTTCAGGGGAGGTAAACCCTACAGCTAGATGAACAGTACATGCAAGAGTTACATTTCCTTAATGCTGATCATGTGGCTTTTCCTTAATGCTGATCATGTGGCTTCTATCATTTAATACAGCTTCTTGACTCCATGTTTTGCTACCTTTTATTTTATAGATGACTCAACTCCCGAGATTAAAATTTTACTTTTTTATTTTCTTTTTAAGTTAATAAACGTATACATAATTACATTATAGAATAAAAATCTGTTTATTTCTTATTTTGTAGATACAAACAAAGTACCACTTTGACTTTGGTTTTCATGATCATATGGTTTAAAGTATGACAGTTGTTACCCATAGTGTCGACCTCTGACCTTATTATAACATTGGACATTTAAGATAGCCATCTGTCTATCTAATTTGAAATATCGAAATACTAAACATAAGGAATCAAAAGTAGAGAACGGCCAAATTGCACAAAATTATGAGTAAAGCTGAACCTACGCTGTAACTCGGGCGCAGCCATGGCATTGTAACTGTTATCATTCCAAGGGCTTACAAACCCTGCCATGAGAAATATCATATTAAGTAGCACACATGTGGACAAACAAATGCATACAGGCCGAGTTAAGAACACATGTGCACTCAAGTTTTATGGTATACATTATATTGAATTCACAATTAGAATAAATTGGTCAATGTGAACTCAAAAAAGGAAAACACAAAATGAACTAATTAGTGTATTTAAAAAGTCTTTTGTGTCACTTAATCTTATCATACTAATACTAATTTTCTTAAGCATTTCTCAATCTAAAAGTTTAACCCACACTTTTTTGTTGGACAATATAAGTGGACCACAAAAGTCCACAGAGAAAAAAAAAATACTGCCTATTTTTGTATTAAACATTGACCTCAACTTGAAAATAATCCATCTTTATAGACAACTAAATATCCTATATTCAACTCATTTCTTGTAATTATTTGCCAATATTTAAACAACAACAACAACGACAACAAACATAACATACACATAGGTTAACATGTATATGTAACAGTAACAAGCTGGCACTATGAGAAAAGTGAACACAATCATGTTGTAAACAAATGTAAAATATCTCTCCTCTTCACAATGCCCGGTCACTAAAACTTCCATCATTACACTGTATATTTTCATTCATTATTATTTACATTTTTTCCCCAAAATGTTTCTTTTCCGTACAATATTCCTTCCCATGTCCTGCTTGGTTAGAGTTGAATATATTGCAGAAAATTCATCGTAAAAGTTCCTCTGAACAGTGTTTCCGAATAACTTTATATGACTCATAATGAAAGAACCTTATATACAGCAAGGTTTTAAGACTTTTGCAATATATCTTAAATTAGGGGAAAAAAATCCAACATAAAACTGCATTTTTCACTCCAAAAAAATGTTTCAAGATCTAGTAGGAACACTGCTTCATTTTGTTGTCCTTCTTTTATGCACAAGATAGTAAATCACAATGTTGTTTCCGCAACACCTCATATTCCGTTCCCTTACAATAAACTCAAGTAAAAAAAAAAAAATCCAATAAAAGTAAAAAATAATTGCACTGTTAGAAATATTCCCATCATACTTTAACATTTTATAAATTAATCAGAACGTTCCTGCACTTATAAAATGAACACAATTCTCTAGAATGATGACCCTACACGTGTTTGTTTATACTACATCAAGTCTCTGACTGTGGTACTAAATTTTCTTGCATCTTTTTAATCAAGTCCAAGACTTTGGTATCTTTTAATTGTTCCTCTGTTGCTGTAGTCTGAAAGAAGATGAAAAAACACCTACATTTTATATCTTGTCTGTTTTAAAAGATTTTAAACACAAACAAACATGCTTAGCAATATGGTACGAAAACTACATACTGTATACTTTAACCACGCTAAATATCTTAAATGGACTTGTCCATCTTTCTATCTAGTCAAAATCAGTTTTCATTTTTTAGGGAAATTTTCAAAACATGTACTCTTTTGGGAAATTTTCATATGTACTTTTTAGGGAAATATTCAAATATGTACAGTCTAGGATTTTTTTTTATAAAAACATGTACTTTTTAAGGATTTTATCTACCGTAAATATGTACTTTTCGTGGAGTTTTTCAAAATATGTATGTACCAAATGAATAGGAAACAGTACCCAGCCTGATGATTGCACTGGTTGCTGGAGTAAATTCTATTACCACCGGCAGACTAAGGGTTACATTTTGTTTCTTGGTTTTGTTTGGCGCATCAATACCATTTTGGTCATATGGTGTCGCAACAGGAAAGATGAGTTTGGCTAACCTTGGATAATTTTAGCAACACCATGAATCAAAACCACTTCACCTGCTTGAGCTAAAAGATGCAGAGACTCCAGTAATTCGAACCCATTTTATCGCCTCTTACAATCATGCAATGATAAATGGTGCCTCCAACTTAAAAGGCAACCCCTCAGCTAAGGTTAAATATATGTTGTGGCAGTGGCCTTAAAATACAGTAATACAAAACAAAAATCTCACCTGGTATTTATCTATAATTTGTTCTGCTGCCCAAACAGCATATTTACTGTTACTATTCTTTTCTTTCTGACTTTTGGAATACCCTGTTGCTAGGTTACTGGCAGTCTGTAATATACATATATACATAAAATGAGCTTGTGAGCTAAGTTTGTGTACATAAATAAGTATTTGGTAATCCATAGTTGTATCATTATTTGAGGACTTAAGTTCTTCGAAAAAGCATTTATAGCTTTTTGCCAAATCCCAAAATGTATTTTGTAAATATTGTTCATATTTTAAATGTTATGTTATATAAATATGTTTAAACCAAAAAGCATTTGCTCTACACTAAACATATATCAAAACATATCCTGTTTTTTTCCTGAACTTTCATCATTAACTATCCAACTTTTCTTTTGAACTTAGAAATGTAAACTGCCATTTAATGGGATTTTGTACCAAAATAATAAACAAGAGCAGTTGGTAGGACAGTGGGCTCAACAATTCTCAATGTGCTGGATAGTGAAACAAGAGCCTTGATAATGAAGAACTTTAGAGAGTTCAAAAAGGGCCATAATTTTTTTTAACAAGAGGGCCATGATGGCCCTTAGGTCGCTCACCTGTATATAGGCCCCCCCCAACCCCCACCCCAACGTTGCAGAGCCAATTTAACCCAAGGGCTTTTATTTGCACAAACTTGGTAGACACCCATAAGAAGATGTTTCATGCTAAACATTTAAGCTCTAGCTCATTGGGCTTTTTAAAAGAAGATTTTTTTTAAAGTTTTTACTATACACATATAGTTAAAAACAATGACACCCCCTGGGGCCGGGCCAGTTTTGACCCCAGGGCTTTTATTTGAACAAACTTTGTAGACACTTACTAGAAGATGTTTCATGCTTAATATCTAAACTCTAGCTATTTGGGTTTTTTCAAAGAAGATTTAAAGTTTTGCTAAACACATATAAAGAAAAATCAATGACCCCCGGGGCGGGGCCAATTTTGACCCCTGGGCTTGTATTTGAACAAACTTGGTAGACACCTATTAGAACATGTTTGATGCTCAATATCTTAGCCATAGCTCTTTGAGTTCTTTAAAAGAAGATTTTTTAAGTTTTTACTATATGCATATAGGGAAAATCAATGACCCCCCGGGGCGGGGCCAATTTTCACCCCAGGGCTTTTATTTGAACAAATTTGGTAGACACCCATTAGAACATGTTTCATGCTAAATATCTTAGCTCTAGCTCTTTTGGTTCTTTAAAAGAAGATTTTTTAAGTTTTTACTATATGCATATAGGGAAAATCAATGACCCCCCGGGGCGGGGCCAATTTTGACCCCAGGGCTTTTATTTGAACAAACTTGGTAAACACACACTAGAAGATGTTTCATGCCAAATATCTAAGCTCTAGCTCTTTGAGTTCTTTAAAAGAAGATTTTTAAGTTTTTACTATATGCATATAGGGAAAATCAATGACCCCCGGGGCGGGGCCAATTTTCATCCCAGGGCTTTTATTTGAACAAACTTGGTAGACACCCATTAGAACATGTTTCATGCTAAATATCTTAGCTCTAGCTCTTTGGGTTCTTTAAAAGAAGATTTTTTAAGTTTTTACTATATGCATATATAGGGAAAATCAATGACCCCCCGGGACGGGGCCAATTTTGACCCCCAGGGCTTTTATTTGAACAAACTTGGTAGACACTCACTAGAAGATGTTTCATGACAAATATCTAAGCTCTAGCTCTTTGAGTTCTTTAAAAGAAGATTTTTTAAGTTTTTACTATATGCATATAGGGAAAATCAATGACCCCCGGGGCGGGGCCAATTTTCACCCTAGGGCTTTTATTTGAACAAACTTGGTAGACACCCATTAGAACATGTTTCATGCTAAATATCTTAGCTCTAGCTCTTTGGGTTCTTTAAAAGAAGATTTTTTAAGTTTTTACTATATGCATATAGGGAAAGTCAATGACCCCCTGGGCGGGGCCAATTTTGACCCCAGGGCTTTTATTTGAACAAACTTGGTAGACACTCACTAGAAGATGTTTCATGCCAAATATCTAAGCTCTAGCTCTTATGGTTTTTTAAAAGAAGATATTTAAAGTTTTTTCTTTCGGTTGCCATGGCAACCAGAGTTTTGCATGGAATTAAATTCTTTGAACAATTTTTAAAGGTGACCACCAAAGGAACATTCCTGTGAAGTTTGGATGAAATTGGCTTAGTGGTTTATGAGGAGATGTCATTTAAAGTAAAAGTTTATGGACGGACAGACGCCGGACGAAAAGCGATCACAAAAGCTCACCCTGTCACTTTGTGACAGGTGAGCTAAAAATCTAAATTAAAGTTATGGGGCTTGGGCAGATACCTCTAAAATGCTTTCAAAAAAGTTTCAGCTCATTCCCTTCCGTAGTTTTGGAGATAGTATTTTACCCACAAAAACTTAACAAAAGTGCGACACTGACGCCTGGATGAGTACAATATCTCTTCCTATTCTTTGAATACTCAAGCTAAAAATCAGCAGCCAAAATCTTAGAAGTGTGATCAGACTAAAAGATGTGCAAGCTGGTTCAGCTCTGCACTGGTGGCATAGCCATTTTAAGTTAAAACAATTCCCAGCACTAATCTACCAAACCAGCAATGTATGAACGATTGAAAATGAAAAATGTATCTTTAGCCTTAAATAGAAAACTGGAGATTTCAGAATGTTAATGCACATTTAAGCAATGAAGAATAATTCAATAGGTGTTTGTTTGTTTGATTGGGTTTTACGTCACACCGACACAGTATAGGTCATATGGCGATGTTCCAGCTTTACTGGTTGAGGAAGACCTGATATGCCCTTCTGTACATTATTTCAGGCACAAACGGCACAGGCACCCGAGTAGAACCAACATCATACCGTAAGCTAGCTGGATAGCTTCCTCACATGAAAGAATCCAAAGTCCCTGTCAGCTATGAATGGCAAATTCAATAGGTGACCAATTGGTGATATCATTGACTAAATCTTACTGAGATTCCTTTCAGATTCTTAGAGTTTTATTTGTTTAAACCAATCTGAATGTTTCAACAAATATACTTCATCTAATACTTACTAAAAGTAGACCAAACTGTGCCCGCATGTTGTTAGGGTTGAGTTTACACGCTTGAGCAAAGTACGACCTAGCTGTCTCGAGATTGTCTGACCCTCCTTGTGTGTACTTTATCTAAAACCAACAACAAATTACAGGTTAGAAAACTTACAAACACATGTACTGTACTTCCATGGTAAAGGTGGTACAGTATGCACCTTATAAAAAATCAACTTTACATTTTTTAAGTTCATTTTGTTTTATTGATTAATCTTGAAGATTTGTAAGTGGAAAGTAATGCACAGATTTTATAAATTGTAAAAATTGAAACTGTACGTTACTACAAAATGTTACTTAAAATGGTAACTTTACTACATGTGATTTTGAAAACAATACTTGTTAATTGGTTCTTTATAATCTGGAGTCATTTAAAAAGCATCATGGTGTAATTATGGGTGTATTGAGGCATGTAAAACGTTCAACTTCATGTGTTCAGTAAACAAACCATGGTGGTGTCAGGCTTACTAACTTGTGATACAAACACAGTCATGTACACCATAGCAACATAAATGCAATCATATACATCGTAACATGTATAAGGGAAACTTTTGTATTGGGCATTAGGTCACACCAACACAATATATGTCATAATTATAGAAAATTTCCAGCTTCACTGGCGGAGGAAGACCTCAGGTGCCCCTTTGTGTTTTATTTCAATCACAAATAAGCACCTGAGTAAAACCACTGACTTTCTTTAAACTAGCTAGATAGCTTTCTCGCATAAAATCAAGGCAAACATATTTCATTTAAATTCTAAGGCTTGTATATTATAACTGTTAAACATTGAACTTGCTCTCAAACCATTATTAAACACATGTAAGATCTAATCAATATTTACCTCTGCAAATTTTTGATGATATAGATGATTATGTGGGTTGGACATGATGAGCTCCTCCATGCAGAAGCCAGCCTTGTTGTAATCCTGGTACAATAAATATATATCACATAACTCCATCCATGCATCAAAATCTGTCATAAACCTGCACAAATAAGTAGTGGATTATCATTAATTGTGAATAATCATTAATTAATTTTTCAATTAGTGTCATGGTTTTTTTGTTTTTGTTTTTGAAAATGCAGAAAAGTGGGGTGGGGTGGGGGCAAGAAAAAAACTATATATATAATATATATTGTAAACTATAACATGATCAACTGCTATTACAATTGACTCCCCAAGTATTTTAAAAGAAATTTTACAACACATTAACCTTCAGACACTAAAGGAAAGCACAGCTTATAGTTAAGTTATTCCCCCTTGTATATATGGAGTGCAATCATCATATTACAGGTTTAATACTCATTCAACTTTTTTATAATTGACTGACTCTTTGTTTTGACCCAGATTTTACAACATTTTCAGTAATATATTGGTGAGTTATTTTTTTTGTCATATCTCGGCATTTAATCAACCTAACCAGCTTTCCTGGATAACTAACCAGTAATTACCAATTTCTTAATAAGTGACAGACCGCTAATCCAGCATGATTTCAAAATCAGTGGTGAGAAAGAAATGACTATAAGGCAAGATGTCTTAGATCAGTTGTCACAAAGAAATTTTGCCTCGACCAAAGAACAAGCAGCAATTCCTGTATTACAAATCAGACGCTCTCCCTATTAAGCTTTGTAGGTGGGCATTAAAAAAAATATTTGCAATGGAAATACAGGACTATACTTACATTTCTAGATATTTATTAAGAGCATCAATGGCCCCAGGTATATCGTTCTTCTCTTTTAATATAGCTATCTGTCTCTTTCTGGCAAACTACAAACATTTATGATAAAATTTATCTGTGTAATTATAATGAAAAACTCTGTAACATTAAATGGCTTATTTAAACACTGTGTTCTCTTCCTAATTTAAAAAGAGTATAAGACTATATTAGGCTACAGGAGCCGATCACTATATTCATTGGCACATATAAAATTTAATTGTCTGAAGAAATATAGCACTGGTTACAAATATCAATGCTCTTTATTAAAGAGAATGAGTCATCCATGGTGACTGAAGAATAAGGTTAATTGGCTCGAAGGAAAAAATTGCCAGAGCTAGCCCATGGGCTGTATTATATACCTGTTCATTAACTGCCATATTCACTGCATGTATTTTATGCACATTAAAAGAATTAAAATTCATCCCATATACGGTTGCTGACAACACAGTACCATAATAATGAATATGTAGTTTGAATACATGAAATTATAAAACAAAAGGAGTATCTTAAGGGTATCTTGACCTGGAATGTTTATTTTTGCTATTAAGGATTTTACTAAAATGGACCATACTTGACACTTTTGTGCTTTTGAGAGATGCTGCCCTGGTCTAGTAAAAATAAAATCCAAATAAAACAAATTTAAGATCAAGATTCTCTGTTATAATAAGCCCATTATGGCTTGATCAAAGAACACACAAAAGTAAAATAAATTAAAATTATAATCTTACATTTAATAGATTGAAACATGAGCAAAATCACTGCCACACCAACTGTAAGTAGTTGTTAAACATTCAATGAATTTAAGAACGCCCTCTCCATCTCACAGACAGAAGGCAGAATCTCCTTATTTCAATAAATAATAGCTCATATCTATACAATTCAAAGACTAAGTTTTTCTTTATTTTGACCATGTTTTAACTACAGATTTCCAATTAATAATAAACATTATACCATATTTGTGCCATCTTCTTCCAATATTTTCTCATACTGTTCTGTCGCTTTCTCATACCTGAAAAACAGCAGGTCATAATAACATAAATAATTTAATCGTTAAATGTTGTTTTAATGTTGTTTTTATATACTTTATCTTGTGAACATTATAAAACTGCTATTTCCATAAATGGCATCACCATTAAATTATAAACCTATTATTTCTGTAGGTCACTCGAAATCTGGTGGACGAAAACCTTAGGTGTGGGTTTAAATAACCCACAACACCTTATTTATTTAAACAATAGTGAAACATCATTTTTGCTCTGTTATGCTAGCGGCTATTTAACTACTTTCTCCCCAAAATTTGACAAAAATCTCAGATCTTGCAGATTTTTGTAATGCAAACATGTAGATATATATGCTTTACTTTCTCTGCATTACTTTGTAAATAATGACTGTTAATATGACGTCAAAACGCCCCAAATACGGTGGTGAACTTGCATTGTTTTATCAATTTTTCAAGCTTCTAAGGTGATATGTGGGTTAACACACATTTTCTTATTCTGTGAAGTAATACACTTGAGTGCTCAGTTTGTTTGTGAAGTAAGTTGGAATAGTTAGTTTATACCAATTTATTTTAGTTCAATTGTGAAGGAAGCTATAAGTTTCTTGAAACACTCTCACTTCCATTCCTGGAACCAACCAGTACAAAGTAATGAGTGTAAAGTTTCTTGCTCACAGAAACAACGACTTGCCCGAGGGGGTTCGAAACCATGCATCCAGCAATCCTCAGATTATTAGTCGGACGCACTAACCATTTGGCCACAAGTTAATGGAATGTTAATTATAAAAATACATCGCATCACTTACCTTCCTGAAGCTTCAAAGTACATTCCAAATAAACGTCTCACTCTCATCGAGTTTGGAAATTTTCTGTTTAATGACGTTATACATTCCTGTAAATATATCATTATAAAACAAATTTACACAATTATTCACAAAATTGAAATAAATATATACAAATATAAAATGTATATGAAATATAAATGTAAGCAATTTTTTATGCCTAAATAATCATGCCTTGCCTACAAATACAACTGACAAATCCGTCGTTTTTACACCAATCCCTCTCTAAGACTCACACCTCACAAATAAGGCACACTACAGGACGCAGTCATTTCACCTGTATTTCAAGGGCAGGGCTGGCAAAATCTGATTCTGAATTACTTGCCTGTTTTACCTTAAGCATTTATTATTGTATCCAAAACTTATCCGTATGATATTTTAGTAAATTCTTGACAATTTCCACTTGTCTGCACAAGCTGATGGACAACCTGGGCATTACAGACATTTGATTTTGCCGCCCCTGGAGGTTGACCAAAGGTTTGCTGAAAAAGACCATCAAGGAGCAGCTACTCTTGTCCATTGGTCAATTCTTGTAGCCAGTATAAATAAACCAAATGAAAAAAAAAATGTTTGAAAATCTGGGATGAGGATGTAAAGATTTCTGAAATATTTTGTTTAAGGCTTGGGAGCTGAAATGGAATCCAATCAAGGTTCATTGGTGGAACCTGTGATGGGGAATCAAGGGGGATTAAATGAATTATACCATAATTTAACATAATTTGCGAAATGATATAAATCAAATAAACTTGAATTCTACTTACATTTGCTAAATCAAAGTTTTGACAATCCAAAGCTGCTACAGTAACTTGTTCTTGAACTGTCCAAACTACAAACAAAATAATATAGTTAATTACATCATACTACAAGTGAAGTCTAAACAAAATTATCAGTTCTTAGAACTAAACAATACTGAAATTTCAGAAACATGAACTATGCAAACTTGATATATTTTTTTCCCAAAAAAAGAAGACTTGTTTCAAATTGTCAGTTCTTTTTGATTTTTAATGCCTATTTTAACATGTTTTTGTCATATCTCAGCGTTTGATCCACCTATCTGGCTTTCCTGGAAGACAAACCAGTAACTAATAAGCAGGGCTTCCATTAAGTTTCAAAATTTGGAAGTCAGAGACTGCAAAATCTCTGATTTTGGAAGTCACATTATATAGGTAAAGAAGAAAAAGTATTAAGTTTTGGAAGTCACAAGCCAAGATCAAGGAGTAAATGACCCCAAACATCCACTAACCATTCATTAATAAACAGAAACAATGGTAAGCTTGTTTACTTTATTAAACTAAAATAGAATAATTATGTTAAATCTAAGGAGATTTTGTGTTTCACATCTAATGTTGTTTACGCCTCACAGTCACACTTACATAAATTCACAAACAATTAGTCACCTTAGTGCAGTAACTAGTTAAATCCTATTAGATATTAAAGGAGTTAACCTGTTTCTGCACTATGGTGATGTAATCTTTACTGACCTTCATCTCCAAGTTTATGAGCACAATTAGCCAGCACCTGTTTCCACAGTCGTATAACTCTAGCACCATCTCTAATCTGCTCCTCCCTTATCTTCCTCAAAGCATCTCTAGCCTCTGTAAATTAAGTTTATACTTACAGTCATAATTAATGCTCTTAATAATTTCTATAAAGTTTGGCAAAAGTTTGAAAGTAGAAAGTGATAAATAACTTGAGAGTTATTTTAAAGTTGTTGTTTTCTTTTTTAATATCCAGACTCTATTAACATGTTTTGGCAACAGGAAAATTCACACAGAACTGCCAGTAACCAACCAAATATTTTCCTTTATGTTCATGTCATATATTATGCTACATAAACAAACAAAGTTTAAAAGAAATATCTTTATTATTTTTCTAGAGATAAGAGTTTTTATGTCATAAGCCCAATCAAGCATTTTCAATCTGCCCTATACCAACTTGGCACGAGTCAACTCTGCCAACTTTAAAAAAAAAAAAAAACATATTTAACTTTTTCGGATTATGTTATCACAGCAAGCTGTTATAAATAAAAAACAAGAGCTGTCAGAGGACAGCAATGCTCAAATATTTGAAAAAGTTGTCACAAGAGTGTTTCATTGAGTATAGTAATGCATACCTATATAAATACATAAAATTGTCCAAAAAAGTAAGAAGGCTTGTTATTAAAATGTTTTATCAAGTAAATCACTTCATTGCTTGATTATTATGAATGCATAAAATTGCGACAATTAAAGGCACAAATCCTTTAGTAGTTACCAAGATACCACCACAGAGACGCTGACGGCGACAAATGGGTGACTGCATAAGCTTGATTATTCTGCGAATAGTCAAGCTAATAAGAGATACACCTGATTAATCGGTACCCTTAACATACAGTCATACACGAAATAACTGATTGGTGATAAAAGCAGTCCTTTTCCAATTTCAATAACAAAAACTGTAATAATAATTTAACTTTTAAGAAAACATCTTTCCCTGTTTGTGAATAAGTCCATATATTAATTATGCTGTTCCAACAATTGAGAGTGATGAAACAAACCAATATATTATTAAAATGAAAAGTGGGCCAAGTTGACCCGTGCAGAGTTGAAATAGGGCCGAGCTGACTCCAGGCCAGAGTACATTTAGCGGTAAGTTGACCCCTATTCGCATTTCACCAGCCTGTTGTGAGCCAGAACTACTGGATCCCCTACTTCTGTACTCCCATATAATTAAACTCCTGACAAGTATGCTTGGCTAGGTTTAAAATCCGGGATAATGCAAATTGTGATTATTTATGGGTCGAGTATATTTGAGGACGAAATGTATGTTTTGACACTGAAAGTCCTCTCACAGGTTAAATATGATTTTTATTTTATAATTCTGAGCATTTCTAAAATGTAATTTGGATAGGGCTTATTTGCATTTCGATCAATAGTTATTTACTCGCATATTTGCGAGTAAAATTGAGATTACCTTCCCAATTTATTTGTCGTGACATTTCTGTGCCGAAATAACACCGGAAACGAGACTTGAAGCGAGATTTCATAACGCATGCGTAGAACGCCGTTTCCAAGGACACAAGTGTAAATCATCTCGTAGAAAGTTGCAGTTTACTGATTTTTTTCTAACGTAAGAAATAAAAATGATTCCTCCAAACGCATCACTTGTCAAATATGACAATCCGGTACTTGTTAGTCGAAATACAGACAAGAAGACTCCAAAGGTATGGAAATTATCTTTAAATCATTCAGATAACAATATTTAATTTGATATGAACTGATGAATGGGTATCATGGTGGTCATTTTTAAAGTTGTATTGATCAATCTTACTTTGATTGATAATATTTTTTGTTTAATCTTAGGCTAGTCTGTCAAAATACGAAATGTGAGCTTACATATATGTTCATTTATTGCACAAAGATACTATTTTAGACTGAAGCTATTCAAATTGATTTCTGTTAGAACAGATCATTCACTTATCAGATAATACAATACTGTGAAGCAACCATTAAACATGTTCAAAATTTAAAATTATATGTGTTTTTACAGACATAATATGAAAAAGGCAAAGCCTCAAAGCGAGCATTTACTTTTACGGTGAAATGGTATAAAATAATCGTTCATTTTTATTTTCCATTTTAAAATTGTCATTAGGTATTTTATACACTGCTTTTGTTTATTCTGGTTCCCTGTCCTATTATGGTTCCCATATAAATGCGCAGGACACCAGTCTAATCTTCTGTTTTCAATTAGAATACCTCGGCTTTTATCGTTATCTTGTAATTCGAAAAGTTGCAATGTGTCAATTTGCTACTTCGGACGAAAGTTTTCAATATGCATCACTTTCTAGCAGGTACTCACATTATCATAAAGCTCACTTTGTGATCAAATTAATATCTTTTCAGGCTCGTGCTTTGAAAGCTAGTCCAGTTCCACCAACAGGAACTGGCCCTGTACCAAACCCTCCAGCAAAACAGAAACTTGCTCCTGTTGATGCAAAAGCTGCTCAGCAGACAGATGAAATTCTGAACTCTATTCTTCCCCCTAGGTGAGTGTTGTTTGTATATATTAACACAAGAATTTTACAGGTATGCAAAACTTAAGCTGTGTCTCTTATTTTTAACAATTAGTTTATTTAAATGAATTGTAGGCCAGTTTAATTAAATTTAATTTTATAAACCAGAATGTGTTTTAATAAGTTGTATAATTCATCAAGAGGCCATTAATGGATTTCAAACATAATATTATATTGAAGTTTGATTTGAATGATTACTTCTTTAGAGAATGGACAGAAAGTGGACAGTTGTGGGTCCAGCAAGTTTCAAGCACACCTGCAACAAGATTAGATGTTGTAAACCTTCAAGAAGAGCTTGATAGACGACTACAACAGCGCCAGGCCAGAGAAACTGGAATCTGCCCAGTACGCAGAGAACTTTACTCACAATGTTTTGGTAAGCTTTTTGTATAGATCTATCAATTCAAACATTTTCTTTTTATAGTTATTCCTCAATTATCAGTGTGATTGTACATCTATCATATATATAAAATTTTGATTAGTTTGATTAAAGTTACAGCAGAACAAGAATCCGTTAATACCATTGTTCAAAGCATGCAAATAAATTCTTTTAATTAAAACGGTATTCTAGATGGAATAATTAGATATAAAATATCAACTTTTTTCATCATAGATGAGCTTATTCGTCAAGTGACAATAAATTGTGCAGAGAGAGGATTGTTATTACTTCGTGTTAGAGACGAGATCAGAATGACGATAGCTGCTTACCAAACTTTGTACGAAAGCAGTGTAGCTTTTGGTATGAGAAAAGCTCTGCAAGCTGAACAGGGAAAAGCTGATATGGAAAAAAGAGTAAGATAGAACAAACTTTGCTATGTTGATTTATCATAACACCATTCTTAGATCTCTACTATCCTTAATTAACACATTGGCATGCTATATATAATCTTAATTTAAATGTTTTCTTTATATGCTTTTTTTTCCAGTAATTGCCTGTGTTTTCTTTATTTCATAATACATTCTTGTTAAAACTTTACTAACATGATTATCATTTTTTAAGATATGTTTAAGAAAGTAGAAAGCCTGTTAAATTCTCTTACCATTGAACTGAATAGATTGAAGTTTATTGTTGACTAAAGCACACAGGACAATCTCTCAGGACAATCAGAGATTGTCTGGCTATATTCTTATTTTTAGTTGTTTTAACTTCTATCTAATCTTTTACCTGTTTTAATTATTTGACAGGAAATTAGAGCAAACTCGGAGCTGCGTGTAAAATCTGTTTTCATTATTATTGTTATGTACAAGAAAAATCAAACCATAAACCAATAAGTGTAGATAAGCAGTGAGAAAAATATAAATCTAAGTTAAATTTGGCAAATTTGTTTCTGTAAAATTGTACGCATTTTAGCTAAAAATCTTTTGTAAGTATGATAAGACAAAGGAAACTTACATGACTGCTTATCTTGAAACACCTTTACCCTCTCCTTTAAATGTATACATATTTCTGGTATTTTTATAATACATCTGTTGTTGAAATTCCAAAATATTATCACTATTTGTTACCGACTTTGGGTGACACATTACTATTTACACAAATGAGCTGTTAATTTATTCATATTGTAACCCATCTTCAGAATGTCATTGACTTGAAGGTAAAAAAAAACAACAAAAAAGTCTTGTATTGTAAATTATTCACACAGCTTTCAGGTAAAATTTTAGTCCAGGTATATTGTTTAAAACAAAAAAGCTAGGTCATTGTTGTAAAGTTAATGTTGCATACAACACTTTAATGTAGGTTTGAATATAAAAATCAACTTCAGTTTCAATTTTAAAATGTATTGTTTTATACTTTATTCTTTTATGTACCTTGAGGAAGGCTGTTTAGCCTAAATGTTTGTATATTAATGGGAATTTTTGAAATTCACAGTTGACCACTTCTTTATTACTATATACATGTTCTTTTTGTATACAGAATATTCAGTAATATCAAATAACAGAGAAAAAGTAATCAATGTATTGAATTATATTATTGTCATATTTGTGTATGATAAGATTTATTTCTATAAAATTAGGGCAAATGTAGACAACAATTATACAAATTCATTATGACAAATACTTTGCACCAAGTCATTTGTTTTTAGTTGTAATAGTAACTGCTTATCAATTTATCTCACAGTAACACACTCAACACTGTGCAGGGAAATATCTCAATTTGTTTAAAACATAATCTGCATTTTTATGTTTCATTAAATGAAATGTCAAGGAATTGCCATACAAAATGTATAACTTAATTGCATTAACTAATTCAGTTTGGCTAATGATATTATTTCATGAAAACTATATTGTAATTAATATTAGGAGTTTTCAAATACACAATGTAATAGAAAACAAAATATTTTTAGTTTGGTGACTTCACTGTATTCTAAAATCCACTTTTCACATAGGAAATATTATATATAAATACTGGTCAACTCAATCAAATAAAATAGTGAAACCTAAGAAATCTTTTAGTACATTATCTATTATGGATAAGGGTAAGTGATTCAAGTTTAAATACTATTTTCACAAGCTACAATTAAGACATTTGATTAATTATTTATCCACGAGTTTCTTTCATAGAAAAGAATTATTGCAAAACAATTGGTTCACTTAATTGTTTCAATTAGACTTGGATACTATTTATTGTACACTTGTTATTTGATGTAGTGACCGGTTTTGTTTCTGTATGCTTATATGTGGGACTTTGATGAATTTCTGAAGCAGGAATTTTTGTTAAAAGAAATGAACGCAATAAACAGTGAATAATAAATAGTGGACAATCTTTCATTACATGTTTATTTTTTGCAGTAGTAGTATAAATAACTTTAACAAGAAAAAACAAAACATTAAGAGTTTTTTTTTCAAGCAAAATTTAATCAATCAAAATTTAATCTACGCCTTAATTAGTACTATGTATGTTGTTTCAATACTGATTATTACTTTTGTATAAAAACAATAAACAAATTTCTCTGTAGATATTAAGCAAAGTTGAAATTTCTGTAATTACTGTGCTTACTTTAAAAAGTATTATATAAGCTATCAGAATAAGGTGTTTGTAACATTGTATGGGGGTTTACTGTGTGTCTTACAGGAAATTAAAATCTTTAGCATAGTGGAATACAAAAATGAGTCATCAATACATATAAAAGCCAGGTGATTTTTTTGAAAAATACCCTTTGGAATTAACCAAATTTTTTTTTTATATAAAACAAAATCCCTTGATGTATTGAATATATTAAGGTCAGAAATGCTTCTTTTTATTGATTGATAATCCAGATCAATCAAGCTGAAAATGAACTTTGGTATATCAATTTGCATTTATTTTGCACTAAAGACTGATAGGGAATGCTGAGCATGCCTAGCATTTCTGTAACAATTTTGTCAAACATTAGCAAATACCAAACAAATTACGATTATTCTACACATTTTTACTGCATCTTTTAGTACTGGTGTTTCATTCATTATTTGCTACAATTAAGCAACAATATTTAAATCTAATTTTACCTACATGTATGGTGCAATAATTATGCAAACTTTTACCAGGATAAAAATATTTTAGAGACTAAATGAATATTATCATTATATTACCTATGATTAACAAGCTGTAATTGAAAATTTATTTTTTACAATAGCTATGATCAAAAATTATATCAGCTATAATTGAAACTATAAATTATTATATTTGTTATGATTATCATATTATTTGCTATGATTATCATTTTATTTGCTATGATTGTCAATTGTGATTATATTATCTTATTTACTATGATTGACATTTAAGATTAAAATAACTATGATTGACAATTATTATTATATTATATACACATATAATTGACAATTATAGGTAAATTGGCTATGATTGAAAATTATGATTATATTTGCTTTGATTCACAATCAATATCAGCTTTGATTCTCATTTATCATTATATTAGCTATGATTGACAATATTATCATTATATTTGCTATGATTGACAATAATCATAATATTAGCTATGATTGACAATATTATCATTATATTTGCTATGACTGACAATAGTATCATTATATTTGCTATGATTGATAGATTGCTGAGCTTGAGGATGAGAAACGTGAGCTTGAGAAGAATGTTAACGAGCTTAAAGCAAAATGCGAACAAATAGAGAAGAGGAACCAGGAACAAAGACAGGTAGAGGAGAAAAAACATACAGAAGAAATCCAGTTCTTGAAGAGAACTAATCAACAATTGAAGGTATTGTTTTATATCAGTATGATCTGTAACAATTGTTGTTATAAACTATGTTGATTTGATATATCTTGGTACAGAGACAGTATTTCTGTAAACTCTTTCTATTGACTGAAATGAACATTTGGGCAAGTTTAAGGAAAATTTTGTGCATTAATAGTGCATGGTTGATCAGGATGCAACTTGTGGGTTTGAGTTTACATTTGTTACATTTACCATACTATAATACAAGCATATGATTATCTGTCAACAAAGCTAGAACCTACAGTGGTTCAATGCACTTAAACCATTTAACACCAACATACTGACATATTAAGACAATCCCCCCACTCCCAAACAAATAAAATAAAGATAAATTATAGATAAATGATACAAATATTTACTGTTAACTTTGAATCTTTAATTTGCACCAATTAAGTTCAATAAATATTTTCATTTAGACTGAAATTTTGTCCACGGTAAGGTTACTTGTGGTTAAAATCTGTTGTACAAATCCAAACATGTAAAAATGTTGTTCTTGTTTTAAACTTGCAAAACTATACAAAACCAGGACATCAAACTTGTCGAACTTATTTCCCTCACCAATTGAAATAAGTTTGGTAATCATATTATTTGTTATAATGGGATTTCCTTTTGTAATATTATTGAAAAGTAATCATATTTATTCGGAATTAAAATTTGACAGTTTCAAACTTTGTATAAGGTTATCAAGGTACTCTTACTGTAATGCTTTCCCGCCAAAAAATTCTAACATCGACCAATATCGTAGCAAAACGGTAATTCCGGAAAGTTATTTTTTTTTAAATATTGGGCATTAAATTATTTACAAACACTCTTTTATTGCTTTGTACTTAATTCGGTATAAACGGTTAAAAGTTATTGAATATCGAAGATTGTAAAAAAATAACATTCTGGAAATGACCAATTTATACGATATTAACCAATGTTAGAAATGTTTTGGCGAGAAAGCATTACAGTAAAACTACCTTAAAACTAAAGACTTTCACAATCACATGTTCAAGTTATTAAGGTGTTCACTGGTATCACACAAATCCCTTCAACATGCATCATTTACTGGCAGAAGAGGGAAACATTCCAGATGAATGGCTTAATTATTATTTTAAAAAAACTAAGTTTGATTCATTATCAAATTGTTTTCACACTTGGTTGAATTTCCGCAGATATTTCACCACATCTGGTATAATTTGCTTATTAGACACTTGCAAGGGTTCATGCATGTTTTTGAAAAAAATTATGGTTTACGCTTTTCTCAAGATGTGAAAAGAGAAAAAATCTGAAAAATCTTGTCTGATTTAGCATTAAGGGACTTCTATGACCAAGTGGTTAAGGTACCCGAGGTAGCTAAGTACAACAATAAAAAGGTTTAGCATAATGCATGTAAGACAGTAAGTTGAAAAAAACTGCATATGAATCAAATATCAATACAAAAAAATCATCTCTTGCATTTCAAACACTTATAAGATGCTTGAATTTATTGCTGTTATTATCTAACATGGTTTCTTTTTTTCTTTATTTCAGACACAACTTGAAGGAATTATCGCCCCCAAGAAATAAATACAGTGATATAAAAACAATCAGAACTGTTCATCTTTTTTATACTGTGATAATAAACTTTGTGACATTCCACAGCAATAAGTATTTATAACTGCTGAAATAAAAATTGACAATAAAAATAATGTTTGTTTAACATTTTACAATGTTTTTATTGTGTTTAATCCGAGCCAAGTATATTTCATTTGTATTTTGATGTGTAAGAAGATCAAAGATTAATGAATAACTATGTGAGTAGTACAAGACATTTCTTTTATTTATAAGCTTAAAGACTGACATAGGGATGCGCCTGTATAAGGAACTTAAATTTTTTTACAGAAAATCTGTGTCTTTATTTCTCAGTGAGCAATGTTATGTCAATAACAATACTGCTGGATATTATTATATTCTGTTCATGTGTTACACGATGCATTTGTTATTTTGATATTTTTGTACATAAAAAATCTTTATATATTATGAATATGTATTTTACACACTGTACATGATAATAATCATAATATCTCAGTTAAACGAAGTATGCAAGCCCTCCAATACTGTAGTATTCTTGTTTAGTTTCCAGATATAAGATTTTTATTAAAATATTTCTACAAAGGTGGTACGATTTCTCAATAAATATTTCCTGTAATATCTAGGAAGTTAGGTAACAGACACTTAAACTTTGTTATTGAAATTCTTTGTTGCAAGAATTTATATATCTTATTATGCATAAATAACATTCCATATTATTAAATTCATTTTGCGACAAACAAGTTTGTTTATCTTACTTCATGATTTCCAATACCACCTTTTACTTAAAATTTCTGTGTAGTTTATTCTTGGAACTGTATAAAAATGCAATGTAGTTGTGTCAACTTCATTGGTCACTCACTATTTTATTACAGTGTATGACAATATGATAAGTAGTGTAATGTAATTGTGAAAAAAATAGTTATAACTAATATACATGTACAATCAAAGGTTCCACAGATTTGGAAATATTCAAAATTAATCCATTGCGGATTTATAGAATTTCTGGACATATTGTGGAAAGTTTAAAACCTGTTCTAAGAATCACATGAATAGCTTAATTACTTACTGGTATTCCTGAAAATTAAATATCACTTGCCGTTTGCTGGCTCTTTGTTTATATAAAATATGTTAATATGATTGTGTAGGAAGCTATAAGCTTAACAAGAGCAATCATTGATCACTTGTTGCCTGATGATAGCCAATTGCATGTAGCAGTTAATGTATAGCAGGACATTACAGGCCAAAACATGTTTATTCAAGGGCCATAACTCAGACAAAAATCATTAAACCAGTAAACCCATTTAGTACTTGAGGTACCAATCATTCCAGTAGTTTCATTTGAATTGCAGTAGTATAAGAGAAGTAGCCTAGACAAAACTTAAAAAAATAAAAACCATTAAAGGGCAATTACTCTGACAAAAATCAATGAACTGGCAAATACTGACGATTTGCACAACTAGACTTACTACTGATCATTCCTGTAACAGCAAAGTAAACATGAAAATGCATCAATAGTTTTTGAGGAGTAGTACGGACAAGTTTTGTGACGGACAGACGCTTTAACGCAACAGTTCTTATGTGGCTACTGTATTGTTCTCTCTCAATTGTTCTTTTTAGCCACATAAAGGAAACAGCCACAGAATTTGCCACGGAATGAATGACATGAAAGAGAAAGTACAATTACCTATCCCATAAGTATCCAAATGTAAGCTCAGACAGACAGATGACGGAAAAGTGATCCCTGAATGTTTTACCTACTTTGTAGCAGGCAACATAGAAATGATACAAAAAATTGAAATATTTACTCACTTTTAATAATTTACCACTTTACAATTCAATTCCAGTAATTTAAATGATTCAATCTCTTAACAAAATATATATCACAGTAAATAAATGCCACTAAAATCTAACAGCACAGTTTCATAAAAATTGTTCTTAAAAAGAAAACAATGTATACCAAGAATTGATAAATCAAATTCGGAGTTAATCCCCCTTAAAAAACACATCCTTCAAAATAAACACAAAAAATATACATATATACAATAAATACTTTATCAATCTATTTGGATATACATTTCCAATGGAAATGGTCAGTTAACAGTTAAAAGTCAAAATAACTTCTTGACATAATTTTATAATTTGCATGAATACTCAATAACTAACATGACTCTCAGATATTTCTATACATATTATTTAGAAATTATTGGTGATGTTCAGTTGATAAAAAGAGCGGGGCAGCCTTTTTATATTTCGGGCAACTTTATATTTCATCCTGAATATTTATAATAATCATTTATTGGTCAGTCACCATTATATAATCTATAGTCAATCTTTTTAATTGTATGGCTGATTCAAGTCAACATAACAGTGAAAATATGCGTATAATGTCACTTTAATAATACTATTATTAATATTAATTCTACCCAACTAAAATCATACTCTTTCGAAAGCAAAGTCTAAAAAAATGATATCAAAGTCAAGAAGATATGTGTTAGCTTAAAGAAAAGAACAAACAGACTTGAGTTTCCCTTCTTACCAGAAAAATAATCCAAGTGCAAAAATAATTAACAATCTGTAGAAAATTTTGTTTCATTTCAAAACAATAACAAATTAATACATTGGTGGCTGAAAGTTATGTGCTGGGAACAATGTCCTCATTATCATTTATACCTTTCACAGTTATAAAAATTTCAACAATTAAAAAAAAAAATAAGTATACATTTTATTCTATTCTAGTTATGATAAAGGGTCTCGGGGTATTAGCTAGAAAATTATGTACTGAATTAAAATATGACTAGTTCACACATTAGTCAAATTCATGATATTATATCATAAGAAAAGTGACATTCTAGTCTCTGTTTTTATGGTGATTCATCAAAAGAAATTTCAAAATCAAAATTTTTTTACATTTATAAACAATCATTCCTTGCAGACATTCTTTCAAATTTGTGCTAAAATATAATAGACACAATTTTTATCACACTCCCATGCCGATTTTGCTACTCCGTAAAAACGGTATTGCACAGCCGTGCATATATTTTGACGTAACGTCAATTTCATTATACAAACATAGTGTAAAGACGCACTATATGTTGGCGTTACACTATAGGTATGTCATTGAAAAATGATTCTTTTTTACCGAAAACACATTTTATTTTGGGTATGTGATAAATAGAATATTATAATCGTGTAAGTTCAATACTGAAATTGTTGAATAAAATAATATCATGTTTGCCAGAGGCTCACACAATATAACTTTATACAACTCGTTCAATAAATTCAGTACTGAACTTACACTCAGTCAATATCCTCTATTTATGATACATTTTGTTCTATTGTCTAATTTTAAGGAGTAACAATCAACAATTATGATTGAAACACAAGTTTTAACTAGTTTGTAAATGTACTCCTAAAATCTAATGGACACAAGCAATATTTACAATACCTTTTGTTCTATAGTCTATACCAAAGAAGTAACAACCAACAAATATGTTTGATACACAAGTTTTAACCAGCTTATTACCCGAAAATTTTGAAAATCTGTTTCAAAACTTTTTATAGAGGATATTTGTTTGTTTTGCATGTAAGACTGAAATATGTTTAACTGAGTGAACACCAGATGCAATATTTTCATGAGTGGCGTGGCCACAAGTGAAAGTCCAGAAGCTTGTGTTCACATATGAAATATATTTTCAATCTTATATGTAAAACAAATACATTTTCTTTTTATTTCATACTTTTTAAGTGATTTAAAGTATCTTTTAATGTAACGTCGCGCATTCTCCTTTGTGATGTCATCACATCCTGACATCACATCATCAATATTGAAACATAGCTCTGTTAAATTTCTATATTTTTGTTACATTTTTAACATGATATATGATGACATCGGATTTCTTTTCCAAAGAAGCAAAATTTATGCATTTATTTCTGTCTATTCTATTCCATTTAGTCATGATATTCTTTTCATCCGCATTCAGATATAGTTCGGCTACAGTGAAAATTATATTTCATACAATTCACAAGTGGTTTATGAGAATAAAATCATCTGATATATTACAGTAAAACACCTAAAAGCATGAAATAAAATACAATAATACCACCGTTTGTTAATACCTTATAATTTATTGCATGTATAAACCTAAGCAGGCAAGATTTCATTAACTTGTCCTGATCGTATTTAACATACAAGTTAAAACCTCATTGTTTCTACTCTTATAACACACTATTCCTATTATGAAAAGTCCAGCTGTTCAAAGAGATGATTTGGTTGCCTGGGCAACCTTGGAATGTGTTGGTCGACCCAGAGTTCGAGATATAAATTGTCCAGCTTCTATCAACTTCTGTATATTTATACCCTGAAATAATAAGAGAAATAACCATTTGGTGCAATCATTTAAATGAATTGAATATACTTTTAATGCATAAATATATGCAAAAGTTTGCTCCTATGCCTTAAGTTTAATCCCATCCTGCATTAGTAACACAGTAGTAATATGGCAAAAAATCACTGCAAATGGGTCATAAATCACTCATAACTTGGAAATTTTTGAATATTTTAATATATGAATATTTTCTTTAATCTCAGTACTTTTTCTCAAGTTTGATTATCTTGAAAAATTGTGTTCATCTGGAGGCATGCAGCTTTAAACTTGATATTTCACTCTTATTCTGCAGGAACCAAAAGTGATCAGCCCTTGCCATCAGTATAGAGCCTGAGCCTAGCTCTATTTCCAACAATATAGAAACAAATCAAACTAGACCTATCACAGCAAGTGGTCTGAAGAAAAAATTGAACTCAATCAATAGTAAATGAAGCATCAACTGTATACAAAGAATTAATTTAATTAATTGCAATCTCAACTGGGGTCTTCATATAAGCTTGCTATACACCAAGTTTGATAACAATATCTCATTTCTAACTCTAGTTATTGTCCGGAAACCATTTTTCTATTTTTAGTAATGGTGACCTTGACCCCAGAGGGTCCAAATGCAATACCAACCAGGGTCTCCACATAAGGTTGCTATATACCTAGTTTGATTACAATACCTCACTCCAAACTCTAGTTATTGTCCGAAAAACCATGATGAGGACCGACTGACAGACAAGCTGACTCCTATATACCCCCCTGTCAACTTTGTTTGTGGAGGAATAATTAACTTAACTGTAATAAAGTACAATAGTGTTCTCCATCAATCATCATGGACATTTAAGATTTTAAAGTATGCAACAGTAAATCACCCACAACTGATTTTAAAGAATTTTTGAGTAGAATGGTTTAACAAAATTAGTTAGCAGTTAATTCTGCGCCAGTATTTTTCATTGACCACAATGGCTTGCAGAAAGTACAATGTACTGAGGTATCATTACTCTTATTATATCAGTCATGATTTAATAAAATATCTATTTATTTTTTTATATTTTCAAGTGTCCTTACTGTTTTAATATTTAGACCATGTAACATATAAACCACATCTTCTGTAGACACATTGCCACTAGCACCCTTGGCATAGGGGCACCCTCCAAGTCCCGCTACAGAGCTATCCACCACACTTATCCCCATCTACAATAAAACAATATCCTGACATCAGTTATGACAGTTATACAGTGTGAAACCTTTACTAATATGATACCATATTCACTATAAAATTACCATACTGTGTGGCTAATGTGACCAACAACCACCTGGAGACAAACCATAGACGCTGAGCTGAAAACTTGCAACACCACCTGGGCAGGCGATGAACCGACCCAGATGGAGAGCTGTTGTGGATGTCCTTTGCCCCACAAGGGGAGAACAGGATTAGGTCAGGGTAGGTCAGGTGGCTAATATTTGCCTTAGTAAAGGAAAAACAGAAAATGAATTCATGATTTCATTAAATAAGAAGATTTTATAAGTATTAACCAATATTTTGACATTAAGTTTTCTATGTCACTCACGCAGGAAAAATCTATATTGCACATTCGAAGCTGTTTGTTTTGGGTTTTACGTCACATCGACACAGTATAGGTCATATCGCGACGTTCCAGCTTTACTGGTGGAGGAAGACCTCAGGTGCCCTTCCATGCATTTTTTCAGGCACGAACGGGCACCTGAGTAGAACCACCGGCGTTCCATAAGCTAGCTGGATAGCTTCCTCACATGAAATAATCCAAAGTCCCTGTCGGGATTCGAACCCACAGCGGTGAGGGGCAAGTGGTTTGAAGTCAACGACCTTAACCACTTGGCCACGGACGCCCCTATTCGAAGCTGTAACTTTAAAAGTTTGTTTGCACCCCCGGATTTGCTGGGAAAACCCAAACAATTTTAATCCAGAGTAAGTCTATTATAATAATATACCTGTAAAGCTGCTAAAATGTTTGCTAGAGCCTGACCATACGTATCGTGACAATGTACAGCTAGTTTCTGTACTGGTACCACTTTCGAGACTTCCGAGATCAAATTTTTCATCGCCCCTGGGGTGCCAACACCTATAGTATCTCCTAAAGATATCTCGTAACATCCCATATCATACAGTGACTTACATACCTACAACAAATTTAACATTGAAATATAACCCTCCTATGAAAATAAATATACCTTTCAACTCATGTGATTAAGTAAAATATTGAAATTCATCAGTGAGAATATAAGTTGTACCTCACTGTCAATAACAAAAATGTAGAAATTTTCTTGAACATGCTGCAAATAGTATTGTACAGCAGCATTATAGAATGAAAAATAACATTAATTTGTTGTCATAACAACACATTTTTGCTACTGTTTGTTGCGGTCTGTTTTTTTTTGTTTTCAAATACGACCAGTTTAAAAGTAACACAAGCTGTCGGTAGGACTATTCTCAGTGCTTGATAGTAAAACAAGAGCCTAGATAATGTAAAATTTTCATTAAGTTGAAATTCAGACTTTATGTTTTAAGCATAGTGTTATTAATGAGTGGATTTAAATCAGATTGATCCTTTTCATAATCAAATCTTATTCCATCTTGAACACCAGATGAACAATTTCCAATTGTAAGCACTTTGATGAAATAATTTTTTAAATATTAGCTGAAATTATAACAGGATGTGTAACTCTGTCTTCCTAAAAGACACAGTTACTTCCCTTTCATCATGTTTTGCTCCTTTCTATTGATATATTATATATATATACAGTATGTTCTTTGATTTTATGGTCTGAATAAATAATAAAAAATTATTTATAAATGCAAACAAAATTGTTGGTGTGAATATATCTGCAGATTGTACATATTCACAAAATTATATTTTTTACAATTTAGATAACATGTAATCTGGATTTGGTAATCAATCAATTCACATTAAGAACAAACAGAACTTTAATATCACCTGTGCAACTTTATCTACTGCAATATCTCCCTCATAAGGACAGCCTAATACACATGATACATACCTGAAAAGAAAAGAAACATAGACAAAACATTTAACATATCAGGTGGAAAAGTCTAGTTAGTTTGTTTTATGATACGAGTTTGATAAAAGATGAGAATGCGGTGATAACATTTGTCTGTTGAGGGCAGAGACTAAAAGAACTAGAAATGTGTCCATAGGACACGGATGCCCCCACACGCCACTGTTCTGTCAATCTTATGACTCTAGGTCAAATATTTTTTGGACTACATGTGCCACAAGTTGAAAACTAAAAATCAACAAAGGGCCATAATTCTGTTAAATTTGGTCGCAGCAAAAATTCCTTCCTTTACTACCATCTACACATTAAGGTTGTTAATCCCTGGAAGTTTAAGCAAAATCTGCCATCTGGTTTAAGAGTTGCGTTCACAAAATTTCTACATAGTATATAATGAAAAAATAAAAAAAGGGCCATAATTCTGTAAAATTTGGTTGCAGCAAAAATTCCTTTCTTAACTACCATCTACACATTAAGGTTGTTCATCCCTGGAAGTTTAAGCAAAATCTGCCATCCGGTTTAAGAGGAGTTGCATTCACAAAATTTCTACATAGTATATAGTGAAAAAATCAACAAAGGGCCATAATTCTGTAAAATTTGGTCGCAGCGAAAATTCCTTCCTTTACTACAATCTACACCTGAAGGTTGTTCATCCCTGTAAGTTTAAGCAAAATCTGCCATCCGGTTTAAGAGGAGTTGCGTTCACAAAATTTCTACATAGTATATAGTGAAAAAATCAACAAAGGGCCATAATTCTGTTAAATTTGGTCGCGGCAAAAATTCCTTCCTTTACTACCATCTACACATTAAGGTTGTTCATCCCTGTAAGTTTAAGCAAAATCTGCCATCCGGTTTAAGAGGAGTTGCGTTCACAAAATTTCTACATAGTATATAGTGAAAAAATCAACAAAGGGCCATAATTCTTTTAAATTTGGTCGCGGCAAAAATTCCTTTCTTTACTACCATCTACACATTAAGGTTGTTTATCCCTGTAAGTTTAAGCAAAATCTGCCATCCGGTTTAAGAGGAGTTGCGTTCACAAAATTTCTACATAGTATCTAGTGAAAAAATCAACAAAGGGCCATAATTCTGTTAAATTTGGTCGCAGCGAAAATTCCTTCCTTTACTACCATCTACACATTAAGGTTGTTCATCCCTTTAAGTTTAAGCAAAATCTGCCATCCGGTTTAAGAGGAGTTGCGTTCACAAGATTTCGGGACGGACGGACGGACAAGTGCAATGCTATATGCTCCCACATTGTGGGGGCATAATAAATATGAAATTCAATTTCATGGTGTTATGGCTGTAAAAGAATTCACATTTTGTTTTGATGAATAACTGCGTGATTGTGAATGTTCAAGATTTTATCTAGATATACTTTCAACTTAGTTATGTACCCTCATTAAACGGTATAAAGTGTATTGTGTTTATCTTATGAAATTTTTTTAAAAAATTCAAAAAACAGTAAAATTAAATTGTTATCATAACCTTATGGCAAGTTCTAGAAAAACACAGTTTTTGCACTATGACGACCATGGCAATGCTGCTATCAAAATAGCTTTAGTATTACTTTGAAACAAGGTAATAAAATGATCAGAGAAAATAAATAAGTAAAGAACAATACAGACTCTCACCCTCTTACAGGTAAATTTGCTGACTTTGCTGCATTCATTACAGCATCAAATCTGTTCAAACTTTCCTCAATACTACAGTTTATATTTTTCCTGAAATGTGAATGATATATTAGTTCTCTCATACCTATGTTATAAATAGGTTCAGTGTACAACATATTTATCGAGGGTTGATGGCATTACTGTTGTAAGTCCTTCTTTATTTCATATAAGTTACTGTAATTTTGCGGTCAAACCCTTGATATATACAATTATACAAGTAAAAAGATGAAAATATCAAATGGAGTTTTTCTCTGAATAGAGAAATGCCTAAACAGAAAACTCTAGATTCAAGACAGCTAGATATCTGTAATAAACAGAAGGGAATAAGGTATTTTCTTCCGTTTCTGTAAAAATAGACTTATAGCTCTCAAGTTAGTCGAATACTGCAAGTACATAGTGTATTAGTAGCTAGATTGATTAAAAGTTCTGACTTAGAATTACATGCCCCTCACAACATGGCTAGAATTTCATTAGGGACATTGTTGTTGATGTTAGAAAGCTATTCATTTTGGTTTCAGGCAATTTGGTGAATTTGTTTGTGCCTGATACAACACTGAGAGGGGTATTCACTGTGAGAAATATTCAAGGTCTTTCTACACTGGTGAAGTTTGGAAGTCATCATATTACATAAACAGTGTTAGAATTAAACCATGCCATCTCTCAAATGTTAAGTGGCAGCATGGCCGAGTGGTTAATTAACATGTGAGTCTAGAAACCTAATGATCGTAAGCTGCATGGGTTCAAACCCAGTCAGGAACAAGTCACTGCTTCCTTGAGCAAGGAACTTTTCACACATTGCTCACTGTACTGGTTGATTCCAGGAACGGATTAGAAAGTGTTTCTATAAGCTTATAGCTTCCTACACAATCAAACTAAAATAAAATCTGTATAAACCAAACATTGAAAGAATGTTGTATAAGCTACTCACTTGCTGAAGCTTTCAGAAGCAGCGCCAAATATAGCTACCTCATTAACACCTGCCTCTAACTGAAATATAAGCACCAATTGTGTTAACAGTACCGCATGGGTTTATGTCTCCAACCTAAACGCTTAACTTTTGTCCTTCAAGGTATTCGTACACACATAGGTAATGCAAAATACTATACATGTACAAGCATAAATATATAAGTGATTTCCTACAATCTGACAAGGAAATTATAAACAATACACATATTCAAATTCATTATGCAATCATGATAAGGAATACACAAGTTTGATGCATCGTAACAGATAATGTGAATATATCCCTGATAATAGTGACACAGAAACAAATTGGGAATAAAAGTACAAAATACAAACAACCTACCGCAGCTTCAAATCCCTTCAGGTTTGGTGTTAACGCTGAGTAAACAATGTCTTTATGCCTTTCTATGCCTCTCATAACATCACCATGATCTGCCATCTACATGAAGATAAGTTAAAGATAAGTTAAAGATAAGATTAAGATAAGCTAAGATAAGTAAAGATAAGTCAAAGATAAGTTCAAATAAGTTAAGATAGTAAAAGAAAAGTTGCAGATAAGTTAAGATAAGTCAAATATAAGTTACAATTAGTTCAAGATAAGTTAAAATAAGTTTAAGATATATACTAGGCTGACCTCTGAGTAAAATTCTTTAATCGCAGAAACTTATTAAAATCTATGAAATACTCACTGAATATTTTGTATAAAAGAATGTACAAATAATGCACAGGATTCCCTATAAGGGGTCAAGTAAAGTTGGTCCTTGTTTAAAAAAAAAACTGCCAGTTTTGTTAATGACACTATATATTATATTGCATTTACCTATAGTGTGTAGAGTTTAAAACATTTCTTTACTTTATGTGAAGTCAAAACATGATTGTTAGTTTTATACATAAAAAGAGACTGTGTAGCAATTAAATATAGTTTCAAATATCAAATTTGAGCATAGTATATCTCTAAGGTAAGTTAAATTTCAAGTCACTAAGCATAAAACTATTCAACATTAACTCTTATCATATGACATTTTGTAGCCACCTGTTATACATTTAAATTAGGCATGGCAGTAACATTATAGTAAACAAAAGTATCGGTGACATAAGTGAGTTTTTCTCAATGCTGAAGTGGCCAGCTTCATGTAACAATACATTGCAAAGCAATGTGGAAAAAACATTGTTATCTGTCAATAAATAAAGATGCTATGCAAAAAGTATGACAGCACAACAAACTATAATACTGGCAGTTACATGTAGGCACTATTTGTGCTCCCCAAATAATTTTCATAGAGTATTAACATAACAATTTCTTTATTTTAATATTCAGAATTTCATCTAAGAAGGTACAGCACAATGGGAGCCTATTTATATGCAATTCTTAAGATATCTAAAAACGAGTCCATTGCTTTTTTAAATTTTATCAAGCAAAACAATTGGGCCTAAATGAATATGTACCATCAAAGCTGTCTAAAAGTAACCATTAACATCTACAAACCTGAGGTATCCATTTTGGAGAAACAAAGCTTGTTACTTCAATACTGGGTAGTCCAGCTTGGGATAACCTATTGACCAATTCTATCTTTGCGGCAGTTGGCACCATCTCTTTCTCATTTTGTAAACCATCCCTTGGACCAACTTCCACAACTTTCACAAATGATGGCAAACCTGCAATCTGTGTAAGGTAGAACATATTTTTCTGCAGATTAAAGTTACAAAGATTTTTAAAACTTTTAAGAATTAAAAAGTGTGTTTTCACAAAACAGCCAAAGTGACTACAGATATATATAAATATTTGCCTTACTTTTCATCTTATCAGGTGCAAGAGCTGCCATTTAGTTTGAATAATCATTGCAAAAAGGTAAACAGTGTAAATAAGAGATATACATATATATATGCTAAATGGTGTAAGATTTTTTAACCTCCCTTACTATATATAATACGGGGAAGTCAAAGACCGGGCCCGCGAAGCGGGTCTGGGCTTTGGCTTGCCCGGCTATAGACTACACGTGTATATTTAAAAGAAAATCAAATAAAAAACAGTTCAAAAATATATAGAATTCTATACCTATCAATGAAATTTTCAGTGTCAGTTCTACTCGGGCGCTGCCATTTACAATGTAACTCAATGATAAAAGGCGTGGTATTCCGATAACGGAACAAATCTCAACTTTTCGGATAAATAATAAACGTCGAGTGTTCCGAGTGAAAACGGAAGCGGTGCATGTAATACCGAATGACAATTTTAAAACGGAAAGAATGAAAGGAATTTTTTAACGACTTCCCCGTTCATAGGCTTTGCCTAATTTCATATTAGTTTTTACATGAATTTATGAAAAAATGATCAATTCTTTATATTATTTCAAAATAATCTGATAATGACAATGGCATTATATGTAAAGAATAAGCCTGTGAGTCATTCATTAAATCAACACTTTTTAACAGGGAGCCCAGAGCCTTTTAAACATGGCCTAGATGGTATCAGCTTTATTTCTAGTTTTCCTTTTAGATGTTCTTTGCCACTTGTCTTCAGCTTCATCAATTTTCCAATTGGAGGAAAAGAAGGCTATGTCAATACACCCACTGACAGTCTCTATATAAACTATGTAAATAACCGAGGTATATCGAGTGAAAAAATACGAGTTGTTTCCCTTATCTTCAAATAAAAACGATATCTCTAATGCTAAAACAATGCAAATTTAGGCGTTTTTAAACTGCCAATTTGGGGCGATTTAATGTCCGATTTTAAAAATTATTACATCAATTAAAAGCTGGTAATCTTAGCCGCCAGTTAGCTTCATCTCAGAATATATTTCAACACATTGTCACTAAAAGGTATTTAAACTTACTTGATTATTTACGGTTAAACCTACCACAAGTCAGCCCATTTTACATACATTTTATACAGAGAGATGCGCAACTGGTTACCTTTACTTGCAATTATATTGATAAGGATAGCCTTTCATCTACTAGTTCAGAAACTGTCAATCCGTGTATGCCCCTAACTTAATAGAACATGGTCCCCTATCTCAAAGCACTGACTGATTGAGAAGGCACTGTGTCCCCTTTCGGACAAAGCAAAATTGAAGACTTGAAGTTATTTGTTTAAAGGCAATTGACTTTTCTAGACATGTGCTCATAAAAATATGACAGTTATAACTTGAAGTTGGATAGATCTAATAAGTTTTTATCAAGTTTCGATGGTGAAATTAATCGGGTTTTGCTAAAGATAGACAAATGCTGTATTCAAAACAGAATTAAAAAAATATGACAATCATAACAATTATTTCAACTACCTTTGCATAGTACAAAAAAAAATAAAACGTCATCCAAAAATATTTCTGTAAAGGGTCGATCCTGCTTGTGTACGAATGATCTTAATTGGGATTCACGTCAATTAATTGTGTAATCATGCAATCTGTCATTGCATAAAGTATAGTACACTTACTGATACTTGTGCATAGCCTCTTGTAACTGTCTCAACGAGCTTAAACGTTTTCCTAGCTCGCTTAACGGTTTGGAACCGAATCGCTATGGATTTTGCAATGGAGGTCGCCATTTTATTTAAAGGTTGAACACCACAACTTGATTTAAAGCCCCAAACTCCGAAACCGACGCAGTTGTCTCCCTTCGCTTCGCTATATATTTGGGGAAGTGTGACCTAGTTTTTGACCCAGGTGACCCATATTAGAACTTGATTTAGAAATCATCAAAACAACTTTCAGACCAATTTCCAGGATATTTGGATCAAAACAATAGCCACTTAATAGAGTGTTAACAAGATTTCTCTATTTTTAGCTCCTGTGACCCAGTTTTTCATCTGACCAGTTGACCCATGTTCGAACTTTCCCGTGCAATTACCTAGACAAGCATTCTGACCAAGTTTGATAACAATGGAGTCAAAAATGTGACCACTAGAGTATTATTAAGGTATTTCCTTATTTGGGCGGTGTCACCTAGTTTTTCACCCCAGGTGACCCATATTCAAACTTGACCTTGGAGTTATTGAAACAAACTTTCAGACCAATTTCCATGATATTTGGATCAAAATAGTAGCCACTAGAGTGTTAAGAAGATTTTTATATTTTTAGTTCCTGTGACCTAGTTTTTTCATCCGAGATAACCCATGATCGAACTCATCGGAACAATTACCTGGACAAGCATCCTGACAAAGTTTGATGATGATTGAGGCAAAAATCGGACCCTAGAGTGTTAACGAAAAAAATTATGTGGACGGACAACGGACAGTCAACGATCCTAAAAACTCACCCTGAGCAAGCTCATGTGAGCTTAAAAACACATCAAACACTAGCGTTTCTGCGACGAAACACCAAGGTCCACTCTGAACCACTTAAAGGTACAGCATACAAGATGCCCAGTGTCTGGTCAGCATACAAAGGAGCTCTCATTTAGCAGATTGAGCCCGTGCAGTGCCGTGCTGCCCGCTAGCTTGTACATCAATTAAAGATCCAGTATGTTGTAATTAAGGCTAAATTGTTACTACATTTGAGTGAAATTATATATATGCATATAATTATGAAAATGAAGGTACAGCATACAAGATACCCAGTGTCTGGTCAGCATACAAAGGAGCTCTCATTTAGCAGATTGAGCCCGTGCAGTGTGTCGTGCTGCCCGCTAGCTTGTACATCAATTAAAGATCCTGTATGTTGTATTTAAGGCTAAATTGTTACTACACTTGAGTGAAATTATATATATGCATATAATTATGCTTTTAAAACAAAATAAATTTCTAATTACCTCCCTTTATTACCATGAAAATGTAAATTCGGTAATATCTTTTTTTTTTACAAATGATGCTTTTTGTAACTTACAATATTGATAAATCCTCATTTGAGCATTATATTAATGATAAAACATCATAAAAAATGTAGTTATAGGATCTTTAAGTGTCTTGGCCATCGGCCTTGCTTTATTCCCTAGAGTGGAGGAGTATATTGCAAAGACAAATAGATCAGCACCCAGATAGATAGACAAATAGGTAGGTAGGTAGGTATAGGTAGATCACGCCCAGGTTTTTTTACTTCATTTACCAGTTGTATTTTACAGAGTTTATCGCTTGAGTCTTTCGTAAAAAACAATACAGGGTATATTTTGCCTAATGTGCATTCTTTTTGGTATTCTAAATCACTTGCCATTTCCTTAACAAATCGCACGCGTCAAAAAATTATGCCCTGGACTCAGATTTTATCATGTGCCCGTTTATGACAGGATATCATTCAATTTTATTGTCGTCTGCAAAAAGTTTGCAGTCTATTTTTAGACAAATTTTGGCTAACAAATACAAATTATACGGTAATAACAATTCTAGCAAAGTATATTAAAGCCGCTACATGTTCAAGATTTTCACTAATAAGTAACCAAATATTCACGAACATTGTTAATCCTTAGTATTCTGTTTTACACTGATCATCCTATCTATATACTGTTTAATCTTATTTGATATAAAAATATTTAATTACAAACACAAACATTCTTCAGATTTATAAATTATATAATATGAATGCATGTATGTGTTTATTGTATGATGATGCACTTTTGTGTACAAATTAAATACAATTACTGTTTAGTTCTACTTTAGTTTGTATTATTGTGCAATCATACATTCTTTCAATATAAATGACTATGCATCATTTTTATATTGTATTATATATATATACATTTTGTATATAGCTGAAATATATATCTATTGCAATTACCTCCCTTTGACCATTGTCACCAATAGCTGTACATTTCTTGTGTACGTTTTGCTCCGTTGTAATGCATTGTATGCATGCCCATGAATTTATATATTAATTTTATTTATCGTTCTTTCAATTGTTCTCGATGACTCCTGTTTTTAAACTTCAAGAATAAGTGCAACATCATACTGGTAAAACATTGAACCTTAAATAAGTCTGCATTTAATGGGAATGATACATAATTTTTACATTGAATATAAAGTTATGTAAAGGTACACTTATCTCACTGGGATTTTTTCAAATCTCAGTGTTGTTATATATTTCTGATTTCTTTGGGATTATAGCAAGATTTTTAATATTTTTAGTGTCGTTTTGAATATCTTTTAAAACGATGGTAGGGTGCATGACAGTTGTTGCACCTTTCATTGTCTCCAATAAACAACGTAAATGAAACCGTGTTTACAGTTTTTACCTTTTTTCTTTGGTTGTTCTTGCTCTTGAGATATCATCTTTTTCAAGTTTTTTATTTAAATATTAAATTGGTCATTTGTCGATAGGTCTGGGCTGTAAATTCTGTGGTAGAGATATATGGCAAGTATGGTATAATTTATTCATGTATTTCAGCTCTCAGTGGTCAATTTGTAAAACATATTGCTAAAGACAACATAAGTTTTGGCCTTAACAGATATTAAGTTAATGTTCATGTTGACCTAAACGTTGGTAAAATCTTTAATTGGAACACTTGGAAGACATTTATAATTTGCTATTAACTTTTTTTACATTCAAATATGTGATAACAAAGAATGCCATTCTGTAAACCCAAGTCTAAATATTTTGATTGTAGTAACCTCCCATTGACAGAGTGTCAGGTGATCTTCTCTATCAGTTTTTAGTTTTGGTCTTGAACTATTGTAGTACATTGACTAAAGCATATGCTTACCTTGGTGAGTATTTTAGGCTTAACCGTTGCAATGATTCTTAGTTTTGAAGCATGTGAAGATCATGTCTGTGATTTTCATAAAGCAATTATAATGTCTTTTTATTGTTCCCCTTTCCATAGCCATATGCAATAGCAATAACCTGAATAGGTTAACCTTTTTATTTATCGTTGACAAATACTTGCCATTGACTGTATGAAGTCACCGGAATTATGCAATATACCAAAAAGATCGACACCACAATTTACCAGGTACAAATCCGTCGCAATGGCTTGTATCTGGTATGCCTTTCGTAAACCATATGGGCGACTTAAGCCCCGGTCACATATTCACGGATTATGCCACGGAAGAGCTACGGTCTAATTGTTCACGGATTACTACGGAAATATGAAATTCCGTAGTCCGCTACGGTTCCAGTACGGACACACAACGGTATGAGTACGGAGTTTGACGGATTTACCACCGAAAGCCCCGGGATAGACACGGATTGTTACGGACTGACACGGTTTGATACGGACCGACACGAATCAGGACGGACGCACTACGGATACACTACGGTCTGCTACGGTATAAGCACGGGTTAGTACGAGTAAGTACGGTCTGATACGGAGAAGAACGAATTGATACGGAGACGAACGAATAGCCACGGATCTATACGGACCTATTATATCTGTCCACAACCTCTTGCATGCTCATTTTTATAAAATGCCTCACAAGAAAAGAACACATAGAAAACGAATTGCAGAGTTCAATGATTTTGGCGGAGAGGATTCGGCCTCATCGCGTATGATCCCCGAGACATATCAGGTCCGGTTAAAGTGAATTTCTTGAACGACACCGGATACTCAACAAGTTAGACCATGAGAGCTTCATACTAAACATTAAGGGGTCTTCGTAAAAGCCCATCTCTAGTTCACCTTTTCTTACCTGATTATATATGGACTAGTAATCATTAATGAAAAATGTTGATCAATACTGCTTCTCTTTTGATTTGAAAATTTGCTGTTTATTTTACAATTACATTAATTATCGTGGATGTTTATGTTTTAAGAATATGTGAAAAGCTTGTTAATTAATCTTATTATCACTCAAGGGCCAGCGTCAGAGGCTTATGAGACACTTCGTTTTATGTACATATTTACTCAAATTTCACGATCCAATGTTTTGTAAACTATGTAACATTAAATGTTATTCTATTACTTTTTAATTGTAGTACAATACTAATATATTTTTTTTACCTCTATGCATGTCATCAAGAAGCTCAACCACTGCATCCGCGTTCTGAGCCATATCAAAATACAATTGCAGCCAGTTAATGGCAATTATCATTTATTGAATATTCACGCAAATATGTCTGTTTTTAACAAGAAGGTGGTATTTATACCCTTTAAAAAATACATGATACTTAATTTATCCGTACTAAACAGTGTTGGACCGTACCATTCCGTACCATTTCGTTTTGCAACGCAATAAACCGTTTAAGACCGTGCTTATCCTTGCCTCTCCGTAGTACATCGTATTACAATCGTGGCTTTCCGTGACAATGCCGTATTAATCCGTATTAAAACCGTAGCTTATACGTAGGGTTACCGTACAAATACGTAGTTATCCGTACCAAACCGTGGAAATCCTTGACAAGTTGGGGGCTACGAATCAGTACGGACTAACTACGGTTTTCTTACGGACCAGTACGTATCAGTACGGTTTAATACGGACTAGTAGGGATACGCTACGGTCGATTTTTCCGTAGCAAATTTTTGTGCATGTTCAAAAATTGTCAAGGATCGCTACGGATATAGCAGGACTACTACGATTGATTACGGTTACAATACGGAGAGCTACTGACCAGTACGGGTAGCTACGGACGATGCCGGAATTAATCCGTGGCTCTTCCGTGGGCGTTTTCCGTGAATATGTGACCGGGGTATTACACCAGATTCGTGATTTTATT